GATGAAGATGATGACATTTATCCAGCCTGTGCTGTTACTAGAGCGATGGCCAGAAGACGAGAAATGGAGGCAGACCATACTCAAGCCTTTGACGAGACGAATTCCTCTGTTGATATTGATTTGAATGACACTTTCTTATCTGACCTTGATGGCACTCAAACAAGCGTGGAACCACACAATATCAAGAAGCAAGAGAAGAAAGAACTTTTACCAAAATTTGGTGGTGAGGATGATGAGTTGCATCCACTAGTTAACCAAGGCAAGGACATCCTCAGCCGAGAACGTTTACTCTCTGAACAACATAAAGACCCAGATATCATTCAACTTAGTAAGAGGGCACTTCCACCAGAAGAGGCTACTAAAGTTGGAGAATGCTTCTATATGAAAGATGGCATCCTTATGCGAAAATGGCGACCACCTGATGCTTCTCCAGATGAAGTGTGGCGTGTTGTTCACCAGATAGTGGTCCCAGCTGCTTATCATCGAGATGTCATGAGTTTAGCTCACGATACACCTATGGCTGGTCATTTAGGTATTAATAAGACTTATAACAGGATTTTGAGTCATTTTTATTGGCTTAAGCTAAAAAAGGATGTTTCGAAGTTTTGCAAATCATGCCATGTCTGTCAGATGGTAGGTAAACCAAATCAGAAGATACCATCTGCTCCTCTCCAACCCATTCCAGCTTTTGAAGAACCGTTTAGTCGAGTGTTGGTGGATTGTGTAGGACCTTTGCCTAGGACTAGATCTGGAAACCAGTATTTACTTACCATTATGTGTACATCCACTCGGTTTCCTGAAGCCATACCTCTTAGGAATATAAAGGCAAAGAGCATAGTTAAGGCCCTAACCAAGTTTTTCAGTTTTGTAGGAGCACCCAAGGCAATTCAGTCGGATCAAGGCTCAAATTTTATGTCGGGGTTGTTCCAGCAAGTCATGCATGAGTTGGGTATTAGGCAGTATCGATCAACTGCTTATCATCCTGAGTCCCAGGGAGCGCTAGAACGTTTTCATCTAACCCTAAAAACAATGTTAAAGACCTATTGTTACCAGTATGAAAAAGACTGGGATGAAGGGGTTTATCTTGTACTATTTGCTGCACGAGAAGCAGTCCAGGAGTCTCTTGGGTTCAGTCCTTTTGAATTGGTGTTCGGTCATACAGTTAGAGGTCCTTTGAAATTGTTGAAGGAAAAGTGGCTGACTGAGACTAGTGATCTTAATCTTTTAGATTATGTGTCTGATTTCAAAGAAAAACTTTACAATGCTTGTAAATTAGCACAAGAAAATTTGAAGAGTTCTCAGATGAAAATGAAAATGTGGTATGCCTTGTCCAGAGTATCGTAAACATACTAGTTTTTGTATTAATGTACCTATGTTTTAATAATATAAGTTTTCATTGACATTCAAACTTTTTAAGGGGGGAGGTGTTGTGAGATGTGTATTGTTTCATCATGTATATTATTAGTAACATTAAGTTTCTTGAACATTCCAGAGTGGTCAATATGTTTGGTCATTTTTTCTAGAACATTCTTGAACTTTGTTTATGTCTAGAACTTTCCAGGAATATCATGTATTTACAATTTCTAGAATATTCTAGATTTATATTACTGTATATAAATACCCTGTCAATTCGATGCATAGATAAATTGTCGTATAAGCATCATTGAGGTATTACTGGGATATAATTTCACTGGGACATTGTGTGCAGCAACGGACACTCTGATGTATGTATTTTTAGATTTTTGCTAAGTTTGTACTTAATGATTTGTATATTACTGTAAATAAATTATTGTTAAGTTTAAACTGTGTGATTGATCTTTGCTGGCATTTAGGGTTATTCTGACCCATAACAGTGGCATAGGGTTCAGTCAAAACTATATTCAATGAACTCTTAGATGTGAGTGGCATAAGGTTCAGTCAAAACCATCATCAACAAACTCTTAGATGTAAGTGGCATAGGGTTCAGTCAAAACTATATTCAATGAACTCTTAGATGTAAGTGGCATAATGTTCAGTCAAAACTATATTCAATGAACTCTTAGATGTAAGTGGCATAAGGTTCAGTCAAAACCGACATCATCAAATTCTTAGATATAAATGGCATAGGGTTCAGTCAAAACTATATTCAATGAACTCTTAGATGTGAGTGGCATAAGGTTCAGTCAAAACCATCATCAACAAACTCTTAGATGTAAGTGGCATAATGTTCAGTCAAAACTATATTCAATGAACTCTTAGATGTAAGTGGCATAATGTTCAGTCAAAACTATATTCAATGAACTCTTAGATGTAAGTGGCATAACGTTTAGTCAAAGCTGTCTTCAATGAACTCTTAGATGTAAGTGGCATAAGGTTCAGTCAAAACCGTCATCAACAAATTCTTAGATTTAAGTGGTATAGGCTTCAACAAAGGTTTAGTCTGAGTAGTTCATGGAGTCTAACTTTGATGTCTTTTGCCATGTTCTCTGACATTGATATACATGGGAATCCCTCGTGTTTTACACTCCACATGTAAAAAACCAGTATTTCTTTTTTATAGTTAAGAATGCAGGAGCCGTGTTTTGACGTACTGAGGACACAACTACAACTGGGATACACTGTATACTGTCAGAACCTGGTCACAGTGGCATCATGGGACTCGCTGTAACAGTCCAGTTCCAAGCCCAGAAGTTTACGTAAGATTTATTACTTGTGTATACCAGACTTTAGTTTACATTTATCCCACTGCAAATAAATATTAATATAAAATAGTTACTGATACAAAACAATCATATAGTGCCAATGTTTTTTCTTTTTAAATCGGTAATCACCTCTGAGTTTAGATAGTTGATGTTATAAAGAGTATTTTTCATTGATTTGGTTAATTGTTACCACAGTTAATTGAATTTTTATGACAAATTTTAAAAAATTGATAAACTACATTTTTATAATTTTTGTAGGATGCATGAGGTTGACAACCATATTGAGGATTTCCTGAACAAGTTCAAAGAGATGTTGGATGAAATGTCCAAAGAGGAGTTTGATACATTAGTAATTGGTGTAAAGCAGTAAAGTACAAATTAAATTCTGTTCTTTGAGCAAGCTCACTACCCTTTTATTTTAGTCTTAATCCTTGTGGTATATTTAAGATCTTTGTTGTGTTGGTCTGACGTCCCTGTGGTATATTTAAGATCTTTGTTGTGTTGGTCTGACGTCCCTGTGGTATATTTAAGGTGGAGTCTCTGATAGCAGTCAAGCTTACAGAGGACACTCAATTAGAGGAGGAAGTCAACAGATACTGGGGGGAGTGTAAGGAACAAAACTACGTGTTTGACAGACTAGAGAAAGAGGTCGGTATTGTAAGACTTATTTATAAAGGGCAGTTTTATGTATGTTTTCTGAAAAGTTTATTACACATTGAAAGTCTGAAGTTCTATTATAACATTTGTTGTAGGTATTCTGTATGAAGGTTCATATGCTTTGATTTGCTTTTACTGTAGGTAGCTATACTGAGGACGTTAACACTAGAAGACCTGCGGAACTGGTACAAACAGTATCTGGGAGAAAATCAGAAAAGGATAAGCTTTCAGGTATAAAAAATCTTACAATTTCTCTTTCACATTCTAAAAACCCTTTATGAAAAATACATTCAAATTAGAGATTTCTATGTGTTAAAACGCGGAGAGGTTTCAGAGTTAAACTTGTTGCTATTTATTAATATATTATCCCCCCAAAATGTGTTTCAAGTTCTAAAAAAGTCTTGATATTTCACATTTGATTTTAATCTGTTATTCGTGCTCCAGGTTCTTGGAAACCCAGAAGTGGAGCAGGAAGATGGGAAGGGTGATGAAGTGGAACCTCCCCAGAAGAAAGCTAACACAGACAAACGTGACAGAGAAAAGAGCTATGTTGTGAGACCTGTCAAAGACTGTAACTATCCTGACCACCAGTGTATCAGTGATATACAGCAGCTCAGATCTAAAATGCCAATGTTTGACTACCACTGTATCACAAACTGATGTAGGCTGCATATATAGCCACAGTGAGAAATGTTAAAGAAAGGGTTGTGGAGGTTTTTAATGCTTTTTAATACTTTGACCTTATAAAAAAAGATACTATTATGTAGGGAATGGAGAGTCATTGAATTACTAGCAGATGCTGTTTCAGCATTGAATTATTCTAATGGTACATGGTAAATGTATAAAGATACGATATTAAGATGTATCATATAGAAACAAAATAAATGAAACGTTTATGGTATACCAAACAGTTTTATATATGGATTGGGACATGGTGAGAGCAGAATACAAACAAGCATTCTGAGAGTATTGCATAAGCAATACATGTTCCCTACCGGTTTCCCTTTTTTATTTAGGATGTCACTTTACAGTATGCAAATTTTATGTCTTTTCTAGCTTCATATTTACCATGTTGACCTTCAGAATTTAGCGCAGCACGAACCCGATCTTAAACCATTATGAAAAATTAAAAATGCCATAATTCTGTCAAAAATCAATGAAGCGAAACGAAATTCAAACTTGATCTGTAACTCATCAAGATACACTCACATACCAAAATTCAGCTCAATATCTGCAAACATTTAGAAAAATTCCAGAAAACCAAGTAGAACAGACTGACAGGGACCAATGATACATGTAATTTTCTTGGAATAATGAGAATTTTTTCTCGTGATTATAAGTTGAACATCTCATATAAATTTATGAGAAGATATCTAAGTTGTTTCAGCAATAGTAAGGCATACTTTTTTTCATTTGATGCTTTAAGTAGAGTAGCCTTTTATTTTCATAGTTTGGCTTTGCAGTCATTTTTATTCAAAAATCCCATCTCACCTGTAAAATAAATAATTGAATAATTATATCCGCCATTATACGGAGAATAAATAAAAGATACATAAACTTCTAGTGAAAAATACAGTAGCACACTATTTTGTGTTCATTAATTGGAGATGTTGAATAATGTTAATTGTGTTGTTATCTTGTCCCACATAAAGATTGTTCTCATCATCCACATACACTAACGGGATGAGATACTTGTTTTGGTGTGATTAGTAGAGATAAGAATTGACCATCCTTATCAAGGAGGTGAATATTCTGCAGATCACACACCAGTATGTGACCGAGGACATCGGTACAGATTCCATGGGGACGAAACTTTGACTCCTGACCTGTGTAGGAGAATCTGTGTTTTCTTACTTTATTCACCACCACTACTGCCTTTTTATCATAGTCTGATGTACAGATATTTCCATTAATGTTTTCCGTTATGTAGATTGGTCTACTGTATAGTCCCTGTCCTTTGTTATCCCTCTGTATGTTCTGTAGTTCTTTCCCTGTCTTGTTGTACCTGGTGACTTTAGCCTCTCCACTTGTCACCAACCCCACCAGTATGTTCCCATTTGTGTGGGAGGAGTGTATGCAGAATGGTATCCAGTGTCTGGTTTCAATGAATTCAGTGATATTGTTATCCAGTGTTGTCCTATTAATGACTTTCTTGTCAATGTCTGTAAAGATCAGATCTCCGTCCTGAGTCACGGTGTGGAAACCATTTACACCACTGGTTTTTATTTTCTGTAGCTGATGCCCCTGTAGATCTGTTTGTTACCAGCATATTCACTTACCCAGAGTCTGCCTGACTGATCTAGTGACATATGGAATATATCGTCAACATCTGGAACAGTGAACTCCCTGACCTCAGTAACAGAGGAAGACAGAGACAGTGTTGGTTTCAGATATGATGTAGAATGTTTTTCTTTCAGGGGCTGTACTTTTCTCCTCTCTTCTTTTATATTTGGAAAAGTTATATTTCCCATTAATTTGGCAATATCTTCTTTTCTGTACGTTCCAGCAATAAATACATATATACAAGCGTCACTGGTTTTGTTGTTTCTGGTATGGGTTGGATTTGTACGTTCTCTTCAGTGAAAAGTTTTGTAGGTTTTAAAGAGGACATGTAAACACGGAACTTTTTATCCAGGTCATTAGATAGGTAATATACTTTTCAATTATTGAATCTTGGTTATTTATTTTTTCCATTAATGACTGCTCTATTTTGTTCACTTCTTCGATATTTTCAGAAGTTAATGAGTCCACCAGATTTTAAGGGACTCGGCTTCAGACTTCATGTAGGTTCTTACGTTGGCCATGATCTTGATTTCTGTGGCATCTCCATTAATTTCTCTCTGTAAATCTTTACATACAGGAAGGAAATACTCATGAATTTTTGCATTTTTTTCTTGACAATGGGAAAACTTCTCTTTATAAATTGATTCCAGATCAGTGAATGTGTTAGGTAGCAGTACATTTGGAACAAATTGGAATTTCACATTTATCACAAAGAAGTTCTAAATTCTTGGTGGAGTGGATCTTGCATTTTTCTGTGGACAGGTGTCGTTTTCGTAGTTGGTATAGGACTACTTCATGGTTTTTTGTCTGTGGACTTTTTTTATGTTTGTCCGTGCATTGTTTACATAATCCTGTGTGGCAAAGGTTGCATTAAAATTCACAATTTCTCTTACATTCTTCAATACCCCACTCTAAAAAGTGTTGAGATGTACCTGGTAATTGTGCTTTTGACAGAGCCATCTGCAAAGAGTCTTTAAACATTATCTCTGGCAAATTTAATGCTGTTCTGATGGAAACATGCATTTAAATATCTGTTCTTGTAATTCTATTGACTTGAATAGCTATATTTCTTGTGATTTTTTAAACATTAAAAGTATACAGATATTTTGAAGAGGATTTTTCCTTTAAAAATATGCTGTAAATTTATTAGAAGTATTGAAAATAGTAATTTTAGTTTAATCGTACAACAAGTAAGGACTCAGTTCATAAAAAAACTCTATACTAGCATCCTTATGAAAGTATAAATTGATCAAAGCATTACAATTATTTAACTTACGATCAAAAAGTTCCCGAACTAATTGAATAACTTCCAAAAGAGAAATGATATAGGGTTACAGTGTTGAAAATGTTTCAAAGTAGTCATCTCCGATTTTAATGCGCATCTGCAACCATTCTGCCCAAGCGCGGATCACGTAATATAGGCGGTCACGTGACATGCTCCTTAGCGTTCTGTCATAGAAGCTTAAAATTTTTCCGACTCTTGTATTTCTTACCATGCAAATTATTTTTTCCAACAAAAACAGTCCAATTGTTAGAAATGGCCTAATCTTGGCAATAGTATGGGTGGATAATGATATCCTTTTGCAGAATGAGCATGGTGACCATCAAAACCCAAGTCAAAACCCTGCCTTTTTAGCGTCGTTTATTTTACTTGGATGAAGTATGGGTGCCTTCACTTTATCATATCTGATTTGTCTAAAGCCTAAATTAAGTAAACGATATTTTAGGTATTTGATAATTATATTATTGTAAAGATATTCATCTATTTTTCTAACTGTAAGTTGGCGATCTTTCATATCAAATTACTTAATAAAAGACACGTCTCTCTCCCAGTTTGCTTTCACTGGGCAACAGAACAAACATCATTTTTAACCACCTCCCTTCCTTCACTAAAACATTCAATCCAATTATTGACAAAACCTCTGGTAAGTCTTTTGTCTTCATAAACCATATACAAATTATTATAAACTTCTACAAAGGAATTTCCAAGATATACGTTTAACTTTACAGCCGTTCGTTTCTCGAATACGACTGAGTCAACCATTTTTTGTCACAAGTGATCTACCTTATGACGTCATTTTCACATTGTGACGTCACAAACACGGGGAAAAACGTTCCATTACATATGCTCTTTATAGAACATGTGTATGACTTTATGTGTGCCAAATTTCATTCTGATCTGTATTCCCAGATAGCATGACTATGTTGAGCCTACATTGGTAAAAGGTTGTATGGTTGGCGTTGGGGGAACAAGGTTGGGCCAACGTTGGACCAATGTTACCATGCCAACCTTCTCAACCATGACAGAATTCCTACGTTTGTCCAATGTTGGTCCAACGTAAGCAACTTCCATTCAAGTTACTTTCCAAGAAAGGAAAGATGCTGATGTTGGCTCAATGTTTGTAATACACCCATAAAGACTGTGTCTTATCAAGTCGGTAGTAGTGTGGCCCAACGTTGGCCCAATGTTTGTAATACACCCTTATTGAAAGTGTCTTATAAAGTAGGTAGTAGTATGTTGGCCCAACTTTGGCCAAATGTATGTAATACAACCTTACAGAAAGTGTCTTATCAAGTTGGTAGTAGTATGTTGGCCCAATGTTGGCCTAATGTTTGTAATACACCCTTAAAGAAAATGTCTTATAAAGTTGGTAATACTATGTTGGCCCAACGTTGGCCCGATGTTAGCACGAGTGTTATTTTGTTTAGGTGTTTCAAAAATGGAATAAGTACATTGGGCCAACGTTGGCCCAATTATTATACTGCCAACTAAATGATGGTGTCAATTTTATAATTAGCTGCTGGGCTTTAAGTTGGGACAACGTTGGTTCCAAATATTAATTTAGATGCACATTCTAAAATAATTAAGAGGACATTCTATGTCCATGCTTTTCATTGCAAAACTGATTTTGTTTAGATATGATATTTTCAACATTTTAACTTTGAACTTATGTGATCACAGCTTGAAAGATTGTTTTATTCTATATTTTTGTGCATGCTTATTTATTTGTAAGAAAACGCTTAAAATTATGACTTTTTTCGTGAGCGTTGTATTCATGAGAATTTAGAGAAGAATGAATAAATGTTAATTAAAAGTTCTCAGGAACAGGATGTGAATCCCAGATAGCAGAACATCGTTGGTCCAATCTTACATTAAATGGTTGTATTATCGTTGTTGGTTTATATCTTTATTGGGCCAACGATGGTCCAACGTGGAATATTGATAGTTGGTTATGTATAACGGGACGTATGTTGGACGAACTGTTGGCGTTATATCATAAAACTTTTATCATGAGAGAAAATATTTGCTGAGGGATTGGCATCGGCCCAACGTTGGCCCAATACCATGAAAATGGCTGAGCATCTTGGGTAGACAACATCCGGTCTACTTGTAATATCCGCGCCATTTTTAATCTGACACGAGCGTAATGAGACTGATACCTTGCATATCTGCATCCACTTTTTAAGTATTTATACTATGTTTGCTTCGACACATCTTAATTAACGTTTATAGTTAAAACGATATCGTGTACAAATCTGTGTAAATCAGACACGGGGAAGTGCAAAGGCCAGGTGCTGTTGGGTCAACACTGTCCCAAATAGCATGCTAACATTGGGCCAAGGTTGGGCCAATGTCTTCGGTTACATTGGGCAAATATTGGCAAATGACATTGACCCAATGTAAGTTTGTTCATTTGCCAGATGTTGGCCCAATGTAGAGTGTTATTTCTACAGATTTTGTCCCAACGTTGCGCCAATATTGGCCCAATAAATGCGACATTGGGCCAATGTTGGCCCAACGTCAACAAGATCATTGGGCCGATGTTGGCAAATTACCCTGGCCCAGTGTCGTCCTGCTCATTGGCCCAATGTTGGCCCGATATATTGGACCAACATTGGGCCAAACATTGGTACAAATCTGTATATAAACAAATCCGATAGTCTCTACAATCAGAAATAAATCTACCACAAATCCAACTTGAAAATACAAGTTAGCGAAAATAAATTTACAAAGCTTGTTAAATTCTTTATCAAAACAAAATAAATTATCAGTGATTAAATTTATTGTTTATATACAAGAAAAATAAATGTATGTATAAGATAACAAATGTGTTTTAAAACATTTAAACAATAAATTAACAATAAATAATTTCCCCTTAATTTGGATTTAAATTTGTGTCCAGGGGAATAATTTTCCGAAGTCTACCACTCATTTTACTTATATACACTTAACATCGAACACATGATCAAACACATTTAAGTTAAAATTAAATTTATTCAATATTAAAACATAAATTGGTTCTTTCATTTAAAATTTTTTCAGTGTACCGATAAATTTTCTATACATGTATTTTACTTTTAATAATGATTCATATGGAGCAACATTGAATCAAAATCGGTGTGATGATGATGATCAAGCGTAGAAATTTTATGCATAAATGCATTCATCATACAGGCTAATTACCTAATCACACCATGAAACAAAAAAGACGGTTATTCCTTAATTGACAGCTTAAACATATAGTGATATACTTGTAAATTTAAATCGTATGTTTACTATTTACTGAAAAATGTAACAAATGTATTAAGTACCAAATACTACAATTTTAGCGCTACTGGAGATTCTAAAAAGACATTGAAAACACAATTAAAGAATGGCTAAGGTATGCCAAGGACAGGGATGGGAGAGGAAGAAACGGACAGAGAAGAAAAGAAGGGGGAAAAGGAGACTCGGGAGAGAGAAGAGGAGACATGGGAGTGGGATCAGATAAAAGTGACAGTGCCTTACTTTCTGTTATATACTGTTACATACCTCATACTGTAGTTCTACCCTTTTCTGTGCCCTTTTGTCGGTAACAAATACGATGCAGATGCCAGAAACATTTTTTTTGTGTAAGTAAACAAAATGGAGGAATTCATTTTAGTATTATTTTAAGAACAACCAGTTAAGAGCAAATGAGTAACATTAATTGGTAACAATGGCCCAACTGTACAAAAATGACGTTTGTCCAATATTGAAAGAATACACTGGCCCAAAAGTGGCCCAATATTAACTGTTACATTGGCCCAACAATAAGCCAACAAGTTGGTTTGATTAAGGGCCGATGAGCAAATTACCGGTGGCCCAATGTTGAAAGAATACGGTGGCCCAACATAAGAAGAGCATTGTTGGCCCAACGAATGTCCA